AAGGTTAGACAAAGAAAGTGAATTGTTTATTTTTATATGATTTGTGTCTTTTTAACTCACGATTTATCACAAAAAAAATACCGGTCACCGTCTAGTATTATTAAAGGGTATAGTCAACTGCAAAGCTGTGCTGAATTTCTATAAGGTAATCTAAATTGAACCCGAGAAGAACTCGGCATTATTTTTTTAATTATATAAAAGATATTATTATTAAATATATATAAGATTGTGTTAGTATAAAATTGTGTTTATGTTTCATTTCATTTATAAGCTCATCTATGATCTTTACATTAACACGTTGACTGCCATGTAGGTCACGGATGCCCTACGTGGCGCTGTGAAGTAATTATGTCGATTTCTGTTACTAACGTATCTGGATTGCCTAACTTAGGCAAACTTACCTATAATGTTTTGTTTGTTAATGTATATTTTAGTGTTTTCGGTCTTTTACAAATAGATTCATTCTCAGTATGTTCGTATTCATCTTTCTAAGAGTGTAATAGATACTACTACTAGAAGAGAGAAAACGAAATAACCACTTTAGTGCGCCACGTAGGGCACCGGTGACCTACATGGCAGTCAACGTGTTAATGATTGATCTGATAATTGAAAGAGAATAAGCTATATGAAAACTATAAGATACTCGTACTATAAGGACAAACAGCAAAATATAATGATTAAACAATACCGGGTGATGTTGCTCCTCTTATCCTATTCAATTTTAGTTCCAATGGGTATCGGACTCTCGGGTATAGAGTGTCGAGTTTTAGTTCAGGTTCGACTGCCCAATTGCCACCCCATTGCCCCAAAAGCTGAGCTCTGCCCAGCAATTTTCTCCCAACAAAAAGGCACTAAAGCTATCGAAAATTGTCAATTCTATGACTCGATTTCATTCCGAAAATATCTGAAAGTCATAAAATAATATCGTAACGTATATCATCCTTATCTCACAAACTTACTTGAAATTGATATTGGCACAATTTCCCCCAGGACTGTAGTCCGGAATTTGCCTTAAGAGTCACCGATTTATTAAGTTTTTCAGGAATGCTGTATTATTATTAGATATCTCGATAGACCGTTAGAATATTACTGCTAGTAAACGTAAAATATTATACACTAGCGACCCGCCCTCGCTTCGCTTCGGAAACATTAAAACACACATGAAACCAAAAAAAAAAAAAAAAAAATTAAATAAAAAAAGTAGCCTATGTTCATCAGGGACAATGTCAGCTTCTAATGGAAAAAGAATTTTTCAAATCGGTCCAGTAGTTTCGGAGCCTATTCGAAACAAACAAACAAACAAATCTTTCCTCTTTATAATATTAGTATAGATATAGATATAGAAAAACAGATCTGTGACAACATTACGTATTTTTCTGCAATGTATGTCGTTATTTAATGTTTGTTCTTTTATTTTATGACCCGCCCTCGCTTCGCTTCGGGAACTGTAATTTATTATTGATCTTATTTAATATTTTTGTATACAAATCTGGTCCTGACAGTAACAAACACAATAAAAAAAGAACGTAACAAACAAAAAATCTAATCTTTTCTCTTCTTATATCAATGGTTCACTATTTTTGCGATAATGGCTTACAAATAAAAGATAGATAAATTCTGTTACGGGCTTTTTGTAGGTCTATTTGAGATAAACATTTCCATTTTACGTTATGAACGTGTAATTCTAACGATTTTTGCGGCACACGCAAAAATAGCCCCCTAATGGTAGATTTTTTCCTTCTTACTTTTGATAATTATCGTTAGGTATATTTTGGGTAATTGATTGGTATTTTTATAAATTATTTGTTATACTGATGTGTGGGCTTAGTGTCATATTTATTTACATCGAATCCATACCCTAAAAAATAAGTTTCAAACTATTAGCTCCAAAAATGACGATACTTCCATACAACTTTTCATCCCCCCCTTTCAACCCTTTACAACACTTTTTCCGCATTAAAAAGTAGCCTATGTCCTTTCTAAGGCTCTATAGTCTAGACTATCTGTGTACCAAATTTCATTTAAATCGGTTCAGTCGTTTTGGCGTGAAAGCGCGACAGACAGACAGACAGAGTTACTATCGCATTTATAATATTAATATGGATTTGATATCATTTCACTACACTTGTGATCTTTCAGAAACGCTTTATATTAAAAAAATACTTTACTAACGGCGGAACGGTAATATCCACCTCCCAAACTATAAAATAATATTAAGGAATAAAGGTTACAAAAAGAAAGAATCATTTGATGAAAAGAATAAAAATAAAAAGTTAATTGGTCAGTCACTATTCATTAATTCTTTTTGTATATTTACAAACCTGAAAATATATTTCTCTTGTTTAAATAAAAAATAAATATCATAAATAAGATATTTTTTACTTTCTTAATAACACATCGTAAACCTTTAAACGAGCAATTCTTGTATATTAATATATATGTATATAATCTGAATCTCGGAAACGGCTCCAACGATTTTCGTAAAATTTAGTATACAGGGGATTTCGGGGGCGATAAATCGATCTAGCTACGATTTATTTTCAGAAAATGTTGTTTTATTCGTGTTTTCAATAATCAACTCTTCCCGACATCTATTGGCGAATAATAATCCTAGAGGGCAACTAACCGCTTTATAGACACAACAAGATAGCGTTATCAAAAAAAAAACCGGTCATCATCTAGTTATTTTTTATTTAACATTTGTTGGTTTATACTAACAAATATTAAGAGCTTATATGTTATAAAAAAATTGAATAATAAACAATACATTTTCAGAAAAAATACAAGAATGAGCCGTTCTATGTTTTACTGCCATCTACTGCCCTTTATTTAAAACTAAATTTCTTGCGTAAAGCGACCTCTAGCGATAGTTAAATTAATAGAATCCACTTTGTACATACTGAATGAGCGGTTTTTGTAGCTCCAATAGTTGAGGAAGTCCAAATGAGGAAGACAATTTTATTAACCTTATTTATACCAAGAATGGCTCCGGGCTTTGATCAAATTCTTGCTAAGCATTAGCCCACTGAGTTGCTCGCTGGATCTTCTCAATGGGCCGCGTTTCCGATCCGGTGGTAGATTCTGCAAAGCACGGCTCTTGCTAGGGTTCGTGTTAGCAACGTCATCAGGTTTGAGCCCCGTGAACTCACCTACATGTTAGGGCGAAGCTGATATAGCCTCTCAAGGCTATCAACATAGATAGGAAAAAAAAAACTAAACAGGCAAAAAGCAATCATTCGTCTTTTAGGTATAATTTCCTTAATAAATATAAAAGGCTTTATTTTACAATCTTTTCATGGTACCTTAAAATTAAATTATTTACCTTAGCTTACATAAACACAACTCTGATGGCGACTTTGATCCGGTGGCAGGTTCAGGGAAGGAACTGTAGCTAGGGCTAGTGTTAGCAAGTCCTTTCAGGTTGAACCCCATGAGCTTACCTACCTGTCCGCGCATATTTGGAATAGCGCCTCAGAATACCAACAATACACCAAAACTAACAAATAGTGGTATTGGAAAATCTCAAATGAAGTGATTTATGTATTATGTGAAGTTTTGTCTGAAGTCTTACCATAAGCAATTTAGTCGTCATAGGTAACTTAACCTCATTGTTCATAATAATATCGAAAAAGTCCGTTTGATACGCAATGGTAAATAATTTATTCTTTGGCAGATTAACGGTTGACCACTGAAAGTTTGGAATTAAACTAAGTTTAAAAATGACCAATAAATTAATTAAGTATGGAATCGTTATGAATTATTAAATTATTGCTATATTTATAAATGCGATATTTATTAGAGGTGTTTTAGTATTTACTAAAGGGTACTAGAGTAGTTAAATAAACACAACAAGACATTATGCTTAGGAGTTTCTATGAAATGTATTTTTTTTTAAACTTACCGATCTTCAGCTATAGAAAGTACCTACGTAATGTAATAAATTTCATAAGCAATTTTTTTTAACTGTCCCCTTGTGTGCTTAAGTTTTCAAAATTTGTATCTATCAAACTTAAATTTATAATAAAGCTATATTACTTGTATATTTTTTATTGAAATGTTGTAGTTGACTCGTCAGTCAATAATAAGTCGCATTATTTAATTTCAGCAAAAATATGCACATATAGTACCTATAATTTTGAATATGCTTTAAGGTCACGTGATTCAATGTATACAATGACAATTAAAAATTTATAAATTAATTCTGGAAAAAATCAAGTAAGAAATACATATTAAAGGCAATCGAACAAATGATTCAATTAATCTATCAAATAGTAAAAAAAACAAGCTATCGAAGAACATTTATAATAAAAATAAAACAAATGAATTTTATTTATTATGCGTCAACTTATTAATAAGTTTGTATTTTTTTTTAATTAAATAAGAAACGAACAATTAAGTATTTTAACAAACAGTTATGAACAAACCACGAACAAACGGCTAGTTGATAAAAAATATTTTCGGGTGTTAAGTTCATAGAGGTCAACTATTGGCAGCACCAATTATCATTTAGTGATATAGTTTGTGGTAAACACAAAGATTATATTTCATCTCAGAATATCTCATCTCATTTCATTTCGTTTTCATTTCATTTTCATTTTATGCCTGACTTGACCTAAGGGTTTTAGTTACCAGGTCATAAAATCCCTTACAAAAATGAACTAAATAAGGGTCATGGAGTTAATAAGTACCTTAAAAGGCTTTGAATAAAAACAGGTAGGTAATAATTAATAAATTAATCTGAAAAACAGAAAGCTCACCCAAAAATTAAACGTGTAGAAATTGTACTTTGGAAAAAAAAGGTTATTAACATTGTTAATCTAAATCAAATATAATTTCGTTGACGCTGCCCGGCACTTATAATTGAACATCGACGCATACATCGATCGTCTTGACTAAAACAAAAAACTGTTTCAACTTTTAAGATTACAAAAAAAAACAACAGATTTTAAGGCTGGTAACTACAGCGTGAGTGTGTGACGTTTGTAAACTTGCAACGAAGAAGTGTTATCGATTTTATTTGTAGAAATAATTTACAAACACTTGTCGGAGTATACTGTCGCTTCACATTAGAAGCGTACGTGAATTATGTGATGACGATAACATCCTCATAAATAACATTCGAATAGCCATCTCATTCGACGGTAAATAACCGGAGAAAAAAATTACGGTTGCGTTAATAAAAAAAATTGCTCTAGAACTAAAATTTAAATTAAATTGTAAAATGTTTCGATTAATATTTTGTGTTTTTGCCACGGCTGCGGTTTATAATGTTAACGCGTACGAGGTGGACATGTACGAATTTTTAATGCCAAATGTATGGCCGCACTCTGTAAGTATTTATCAAAATGAAAATTATAGAGAAATATTTTTGTTGCTTCTTGAATTAAGTACTAACCATAATAATATCCACAATGTATTTTCCATAACGTTTTCGTACTATCAGCCTTTACTAACACATTTACCATTTATTATTAAAACAAATAAACGAAATTGGCTACTTTGATATCATATTCTTGTACATAATAACTTAAGTTGAATAAGCATTCATAATAAATTTGTACACGCAATAAAATAATATCATTGACTACTTGTAGTAATTGACTACCTACTAGATTAAATTTACAGGATTATATTGTAGGAAAAAAAGTCTATCGATTAAACACTTCAGCTTATGGCAAGACCTTCTGCTACCTTGAATCTTTCCTATTTTATATTCTCCAGCTCTTCCTATATGTTTTAATGAAGGAAAACTTTATGTTTATTGTCTTTATATGTATTGAATTCTTATGATAAAAAGTATATTTTTTATCCTCTCCACAGTGTCATGTCAAATCTCATAATCCTCACCAAATTGTTCCATTTGCTCAGCGGACTTCCCAGGGTTAAATGTCATAGTGTTATGTCAAATGTCATATATGTATAACTCTAGTCTCCTGAGGGTATAGTATAGGTTTAGAAAAACCTGATTATCTTTAATTAAAAATGGTATAACACAAAATTCCACATAGATTTATATTCCTGTTAGATTTCGTTATAAAATTTCTTACTCTACACTTGACTTTGAATTGTTCTATGAGAAATAAAATGGTTTACCCATAGCTTAACTTTTATTTTCCATTTAATAAAAAATAAAGACCTTTCTGGATGTAAAATTACATATTTTTAGTACAATATTAAGTATTTGATAAAATAAAAACTAAATGGCTTAAGTTCTTAAGTTTAAACTTTAAATAAATTATATTGCAGCTGAGCTTAATAAATTATTTATTTAATACATTTGTAATTATAATGTATTGCATATTTTTTTCTAATTTAATTGAAATTGTTTCACTTTGCTTGTTGTTTGCTGGAAGAAAACTGATATGATTTGATGTCTCAATCATACGTATTTTTTCTTAAATGTAATAAAAGCTATTTTATAACTCTGTTCAATAAACAAAAAATCCTACTTTTTGAAATAGGATTTTTTTAGGACTACTTGGTAATTGAAGTAGATTTGTGTATAACTGGAAATTTACAATAAAATTTAAACTAAAATGAATGTAGTAGTATAGTGGCTTTCAAATCATATAGCTAAAAATAATAATTACTTGTTAGTTTGATCATGGGGCTTCCCTTATTTTTAAACTATGGAATAAAATATTCACATAGTTCTCAGAGTATTTATAAAAAAACTGTGTGTGGTTCAGTAAAAGGAAAGATTTAAAAAAAATATAATTATAAAATCAATAAAATTAAGGCACATAAATAAGTCGCTTTGAAAATAATCAATTTCCAACAACACAGCATATATTCATAAAAAAAAATTTAAAGCAATTTCAGTTTAAAAGCGTGTTATAGAGATAAAAGAGACTGTCTTAATTAAACATTAATATGTGGATCAATATGGCAATCTCAAGTGCTTTATCATATTTTTATCTTAAAATGAAAAGTTGATAAGAGTATAGATCGATAATAGTTGATTATATTTAAGCTACTTTCATTACAAGAGTAGGTGGATAAATTTTAATATCTTGACTAGATATTGTAAAACTTTTATAAATTCTTATGCAGTTTGTAACCTCTATGTGTAAGGATAGACTATGATTCTGTTTTGTATGGTATGATCCTTGGGAGTGCTCACAAAATCTATTTGCTTTTGTCTATCTCATAATTTCTTCTCTTACCTCCTCGGAACTCACCAATGGAATAGACTCACTTTTTCACATTGAAACCTCTGTGTTCATCTACAGTATATTTCAAAAGATCATCTTTATACCACATACCAACAGACTCTGAAATTTATATATATAAAAATGAATTGCTGTTCGTTAGTCTCGCTAAAACTCGAGAATGGCTGGACCGATTTGGCTAATTTTGGTCTTGAATTCTTTGTGGAAGTCCAGAGAAGGTTTAAAAGGTAGATAAATATGAAAATGCTCCAAATTAAATAAAAATTACAATTTTGTTTTCCCTTTGATGTGTCCCCTGTCGGATGGATTCCTGTTGTTTGTCGTGTATTTATCGATTGAGGCACTACAAAGTCTGTCGGGTCAGCTAGTAATACATATATTTTGACTCATTACAATTAATACTGATTCAAATGAAGTTTTTAAAGGATATCTAGTGTTAAACAGCATATTAACTGAGCTACTTGCATGTTAAAGTGGATAATGGTATACCAATACATTTTTTTTAATGAATTAATTGAGACAGCAATGAGTCCTTGCCAACTTTTGTATAGATTTTTATTATTGAATGACAGTGTGTAGCTTACACCATTTTATTATAATAATACAGTAAAATTTTAGAGTTACTGGAGCCCGTAGACATCTACAACGTATATGCCAGCACCCACCTTGAGATATCAGTTGTAAGGTCTCAGTACAATTACAGCGGCCGCTCCACCCTTCAAACCGAAATGCATTACTGCTTCACGGCAGAAATAGGCAGGGTGGTGGTATCTAACCGTGCGGACTCACAAGAGGTCCTACCCAAGTGATTACGCGACTTACAATTTTGCGTGTTTGATTTTTATTACACGATGCCATTCCTTTACCGTGGAAGTCAATCGTGAACATTTGATAAGTACGTATTTCATTAGAAAAATTGGTACGGGATTCGAACACCGTTGCATCGTTCGAAACGAATGCACCGGACGTCTTATCCTTTAGTCCACGACGACTTATGATATGTCAAAGATAGATTAACATAGCAGGAGACCCTTTTAATTTTATATTGTCTAAGTTATGACGTCGCGTCTCTAAACGCCCACGAAGCCTACCGGCGTAGGCGTAACACTAAAACGATGTGGGTGTTACGATTTGTCAGTGAAGTTTTGCCATGAGATCGATATTTGAATTTGCTACGTCTATTTTTAGCTTGTTGTAAAGCTTAACGTACTTACATCTTGTTAGAACTTGTTAAACAAACTTTTACTTATAAAATAATAAGAACATTTAAGTAAATAAATACAAATCCAAAAAAAATATTTACGTATTTAGAGATTCTTCTTCTGGTCGTTCCCTCAATGCTGAGGATCGTGACTGTATGTCAATCTTCTCCACTCTGTCCGGTTCTGCGCCATATGTACCTCTCCCTGTATCTGGCCTCCAGTCACCTCCTTGAGTTGGTCCACCCATCTAGCAAGCGCTTTTCCTCTAGCGCGCTTCCCCTCCATTTGTCCGAGAATGATGAGCTTCTCCAGGCTGTGCAATGGGGATCGCATTATGTGCCCAAAAACTCCGGATCCTTTCCTGGCACGTAGTCAGCAGGCGCTTGGTGACCTTCAGCTCTTCGAGGATGGAGACATTGGTTCTCATAGCTGTCCAAGGAATGCGTAGCAGCTTATTTAGAGATAGCGAAGCTTATTGTGAACCAGCACAGTTAGGTCCGCTGCCATGCCGATTTAAGCTCTAAATCAATTACATGGATCTATTTGATGAGTATAATATTATGAACATGAAAATTTGACTTACAAACGTAGTTTGGGTATGCCTAAACGCTGTGGTCCCTTCGGACAGTGGTAACCGCTCGAGATAATCAATCCAAAGATTTCGATTGCCGTCTACTAGGCTTAGTTCTTCATATCAACGAAAAAAAAAAACATAGGTATTTATTAAGAAAATAGTACCCGCTGTGGAATCCGAACCCCGGCGTAGTAGCTACTCTTGATAAACGTATAACGAGCTTATTAACCATTAGACGAAGAACACTACTCTCTTTTTAGCTTAAAAAAATATATTATACTTTTTCCTTATGAAATTTCCTTAAGAATTTAAAGTATTTACTTCACATAACACTAGTTTTTTTTCACAGGACGAATTGTACCTCTGCACACCAATCAGGATCAGTCCTCGTAACAGATTTAACATAGGTAATTATAGTACTCTAATATCTCATTTTAGAGAACTGATAATATTAGAAATATATAAGAAGTCGCAAATTTCAACTGAATTCAATAGGTTACCAACTAACTCATAGTCTACCTTATATGTTGGTATCAGAGTCTATATTTATACACGTGTGACCATGTTTTATTTAAATAAATTAGGCCTATTGAACCTGTTTGGTATGAAAATTATATCCACAGTTTAAAGGTTGGATCAAAATAAGGACCGTGGATGGCTTATATTGTCGTTTTTATTTTTATTGCTTAGATGGGTGGACGAGCTCACAGCCCACCTGGTGTTAAGTGATTACTGTAGCCCATAGACATCCACAACGTAAATGCGCCACCCACCTATAAGTTCTAAGATCTCAGTATAGTTAAAACGGCTTCACGGCAGAAATAGGCAGGGTGCTGGTACCCACCCGCGCGGACTCACAAGAGTATATTTCTAAATACTCTTCTCACACTTCATCATCCAAGCTTGTTATTAAATTGCATCGCCTCGTTAATTTACAGTCGGCTTTCAACCCAATGCCAGCATGCACACCGCTCACCACATGCTCCTCTATGGATGTTCTGAACCCGGATCTAATGACTCTGTTTGGTAAGTTAATTACAACATTTGGCACCTTAAGCACTCGGCACATTCAGACTAAAGATTGCTTACTTGAATTTAATCTTAATGTATCGTGCTTAACAATACATATACGCCCACTGAGTTTCTCGCGTTATCTTCTCAGCTCAGCGGTGGGTCGATAATCTGATTTGCGTCTTTATGGATCCATCAGATCCAATAACCTTTGCATTAGACGCCTTCAGCTATAACACTAGGAGCAGGCTTAGGGACCCCGGTAAACGTACTCATCGAACTCGACAAAGAGCTCGATGTGCAATCTAACCCATGAATCAGCTCGCTGAGTTTCTCGCCGGATCTTCTCAGCGGGTCGCGATTCCTATCCGGTAGTAGATTCATTCGCGAAGCAGCTGCTCTTGAGTTAGGTAGGGAAAAACATAAACATACTTTATTACCCGAATACTGAAAAGTCACATGCTATGACTAGATACATTTTCGGGTTTTGTCTCAACAGGAATTTGATTATCGGATTATCAGATTATTTGATTAATGAGCATAGAGGGGATTTTAATTCGGATTGCGATCTCAAGCACCCAAAAATAGTCAAAACCCGCACCAAATTCCATGGTCGAATTTTTAGTTTTTGGTCAAAATCAAGGTATTTGATCATAATTGGTAACGGTCTAATAGATTATATTAAATCACAACCCGAACCTTATTATTTTTTTTTATTGCTTAGTTGAGTGGACGAGCTCACAGCCCACCTGGTGTTAAGTGGTTACTGGAGCCCATAGACATCTACGACGTAAATGCGCCACCCATCTTGAGATATAAGTTCTAAGGTCTCAGTATAGTTACATATACAGTATAGTTATATTTATAGTGGTAACGCTACAAATACGGTTCGAGCTATAATGGTAATGCCAAATATCAAAAGATTTCCTTTTAGGCAGTAATAGGTAGAACTATGGTAATGTTTTCTCGAATAATCCGACTAAATTGTTATGAACGTTTTAACTTGGGAATTCCTAGGCATTACTCACTTCGTATTATTCAAGCAAAGCAAATAAACGTCATTTAGAGATTAAAGCTATTAGTTTCGTTCCTGTTTTGGTATTAGAAAATAAAGATAAATGTCATTAATTTTTTTTTTTGTTTTTGCCAATTTTTTAGTTCGGTATGTGTAGTCTGACAAACAGTAGTAGATGATAACCGAGCTTTGCTCTTTTTTTTTTTTGATAACTTTAATGCGGTTAGATCCCCTCAATTAAGAAAAATAGTATTATTATTCGCCAATAGATGTCGGGAAGAGTTGATTATTGAAAACACGAATAAAACAACATTTTCTGAAAATAAATCGTAGCTAGATCGATTTATCGCCCCCGAGATCCCCCGTATAGTAAATTTTATGAAAATCGTTGGAGCCGATTCCGAGATTCAGATTATATACATATATATTAATATACAAGAATTGCTCGTTTAAAGGTTTAGGGTGTGTTATTAAGAAGTAAAAAATATCTTATTTATGATATTTATTTTTTATTTAAACAAGAGAAATATATTTTCAGGTTTGTAAATATACAAAAAGAATTAATGAATAGTGACTGACCAATTAACTTTTTATTTTTATTCTTTTCATCAAATGATTCTTTCTTTTTGTAACCTTTATTCCTTAATATTATTTTATAGTTTGGGAGGTGGATATTACCGTTCCGCCGTTAGTAAAGTATTTTTTAAATATAAAGCGTTTCTGAAAGATCACAAGTGTAGTGAAATACTATCAAATCCATATTAATATTATAAATGCGATAGTAACTCTGGTATAAGATAAGATGTAGGACTTGCAAAAAATGTACATACTATTATTGTTCTGCATTCGTCTCCGTTACGATTGAATGATTTGCCTTGTATGGTTCATATTATTATATGTTTTTCCTTGATACATTCACCATAAATAAATAGTCTGACACCAAAAATACTAAATTGTTGTTATTGGAAAGATTATTATTGTTATATTTACTGATGGTACCGGTGGTGTAGCAATCAACACCCCTGACTATTGCACCGAGGGTCGTGGGTTTGATTCCCGCATCGGGCAAACACTGTGTGATGAACAGGTTTTTTTGCTCTTTGTCTGGGTGTATATTACTTATATATGTATATATTTAAACGTATATAAGTATGTATGTCAGTCCCTAGTACCCATAACACATGGAATCCTAAATTGGGGACGGATGACTGTGCGTGATTTGTTTCCACTTATTATAAGTTAGTTAGAGATCTTAATTACATTAAAATGATCAGATCATCAAATCAATATTTTTGTGAAATACATACGATTTACAATTCAAATCAATAAATACAATTTAATAACGTTAATACTTTTCACGTCTGACTTATTACGTACAAATATAACGTCATATGTCGCTAAATGTTTTTATCATATTTTTAGGTGGCTTAAAATATATGACGGTGTAACAAAGTTTCTAATAGTTACAATGTCACTTTATTATATTAAATATATTACGAATGAGCATTCATCGTTTACAGGAATTGCGGTGAAATGCAAAGAAATGTTATCGACGAAATATACAGTACGGCTAGTCCTTGCCGCTCCGGATCACAAGTAAGGTTTCAGTTATATTCCTTATTTCATGGGACGTAAAGTCTAAAATTAAAGAAGAGTTAAGAAACGTAAAACACGGAGATAACTCTGCTAATAGCATACGGATTAATTAAGGAATAAAAAAATCTTGTAACTCTGGATGATATTGTGATTATCATAATAATATAATATATTACGTTTTATAAATAATACACAATGTATCATGAAAGTATAAATCACTATCAAACGTATTTCTTCTTGGTACATTTTGTTTGAACCTAAAAAATCGATTTTATATACAATTTTAACATTTATAAATTTATCCTGTATTTTTCAACGTGATTTTCACCAAAGTCTCATTTACTTGAAAATTTCCACGCGTATGAAGGACGTGTGGCGGTACATTTTTTTTTACTTTGACCTAATGTCCTAACATAGATCACAGGGAAAAAAAATTGGTAAAATTTTGGGTGATTTTTTATAAACTATTTTAAAATATTTATTTTTTAAATAACTTTATGAACCATATCGAGGGATGAAAGACTAATGGTTTAAGCGACATTTTTGAAATTTTACAGGAGAGCCATTTAGAGGACTATAATATTTGAAAAAATTATCATAAAGAAAGCTTCTCCAGCTATTTGAATGAGTAAACATAATTGAAGTTCGAATAAAAACATCGAACTGTTGATGCTAATACCAAATATCTTACTGGTGGTAGGACTTCTTGTGAGTCTGTGCGGGTAGGTACCACCACCCTGCCTATTCCTGTCGTGAAGCAGTAATGCGTTTCTGTTTGAACGGTGGGGCAGCCGTTGTAACTATACTTGAGACCTTAGAACTTATGCCTCAAGGTGGGTGGCGCATTTACGTTGTAGATGTCTTTGGGTTCCAGTAACCACTTAACACCAGGTGGACTGTGAACTCGTCCACCCACCTAAGCTATAAAAAAAAAATAGGTCTTTAGTTATACAGATGAATTTCGCGTATTAAGACAAATATCGCTTAAACCAAATAGCACTCGATATATTTTATTCTGTTAGAGGTTTTCCAAATGTCTTATTAAGTGTTCATGTCGATTATGAAAAATTCTTTCGAAGACTCATTAACATTATAACTCAAACAGATAGTGTACGCTTGGGCACGAGACGCTCCAAGCCTGCATCTGCCAAAAGACGTTGGCTTTCTCGTTGGACAGGGGTCGCCTATAAAATACCTGGTTCTCCAAGTTCATTACATGCATCGATTCCCTAGTAAGTAAATTGAATATCTTATATTACTATCGACAGAGTAGGTATCCCTAAAATTTTATAAAAATTGTTTTGTAATAATAATAAAGAGGCCTAGTCGGAATCAGTAAACTATTTAATTTATAATAATTTTCAACTATACGATGATAGCCCTGAATTAATAGGTGAAATTTCATTCATGAAAAGTTGAGCAAATTCAGATAAGGTACCAGCGAGATATACCGAGAGCAACGAATATTCGTACTCATTTCAAACAATAAATACAATAAAATATACGACCCTATCAACTAGTATATAAGTCAAGGCTAGACTAGTTCATAAACTCTTCAAGTTTTAATCTCACTACGAGGAATGTTTAAAAATTTCACCTTTATTGCAAAGGGACACGGTTCAATCATATGAATAATAAACGCAATGGTACTTTATTGACGGTTTTGAAGACTATTCGATATACCTCCTTGCTCTGTCAATACGGATCCACACCGCGGTCCGAATTAGATTGCGACTAATTGAATAAATAACATGCGAAACTTAAGCTGTACTAAATAAATAACGAGTTTTATTATCACCTTTAAACAGTTGCTTTGCAGTAAAAATAGTCAAAATGATGTATAAGCTCGGAGTTCCCACCACCAGTAAAATATTACAATATACCTAGTCAGGTCATAAGTATTGTCACACAGTAAAAACTTTTCTTTTAGAATGCTGGCCACAAAAAAGTTTATTGAATTCGAATTTCGAATTGTTCATGAAAATAAAAATGTATACTTTTAGAATTTTACTCATTTTTAAATATGGAGTGGACGCCTAAAGAAGACCGTGTTGCAGTTATTGCGTTGCATCGTTGCGGTTACGCGCCAATNCCACTACCGACCACATAATCGATGATCAACAACCTGGACCATCTTCATTGCCCCAGGCCCAACCGGCCACTTCAGGCATACAGCCCCCATTACCACCCCGCCCGCAGAGAGAGCGGCGCAGCGGCCGACAGGACACGCAGCCTGCCGGCTTCGCTGCCTGGCTCCTCTCACTGTGGGAGAAACTGTCCGAGGTGATCTCCAGAGTGATCCGAGAGATCGCCTCGGGAGCCAGTCCCTTCGGGGCCTTGCTCGCGGGGTTCTACCGGATGATTGCGCAGCTCAATGGCTAGCCAGGAGCTGCGCATCATCTACTGGAACCCCGACGGGATAGGATCCCGGAGGTCGGAACTAATCCGACTCGCCCAGGAGTATGACCCTCAGGTTATCCTCCTGGGCGAGACCAAGCTCAANGCACACAAGACTGGCTGGCGGCGCGTGAAATCGACTTCATCCGGCACGAAGACTGGCCCTCCTCCAGTCCAGATTTGAATCCGTTAGATTACAAGATATGGCAACACTTGGAGGAAAAGGCGTGCTCAAAGCCTCATCCCAATTTGGAGTCACTCAAGACATCCTTGATTAAGGCAGCCGCCGATATTGACTTGGACCTGGTTCGTGCTGCAATAGACGACTGGCCGCGCAGATTGAAGGCCTGTATTCAAAATCACGGAAGTCATTTTGAATAAACTTTAGTGTCATAAGAATCTATGTTTTGTTAAGTTCATTTTGGTATATGAATGGTTACATAATGAATAAACTTGTTTCAATTATTTTACATTAAACATGTGACAGAATTTATGACCTGACTAGGTATATTAATATACAAGAATTGCTCGGTTAAAGGTATAAGATAAGATGTAGGACGTGCAAAAAATGTACATATTATTGTTCTGCATTCGTCTCCGTTACGATTGAATGATTTGCCTTGTATGTTTCATATTATTATATGTTTTTCCTTGATACATTCACCATAAATAAATAGTCTGACACCAAAAATACTAAATTGTTGTTATTGGAAAGATAATTGTTGTTATATTGACTGATGGTACCGCTGGTGTAGCAATCAGCACCCCTGACTATTACACCGAGGGTCGTGGGTTTGATTCCCGCATCGGGCAAACACTGTGTGATGAACAGGTTTGTTTGCTCTTTGTCTGGGTGTATATTACTTAAATATGTATATATTTAAACGTATATAAGTATGTATGTTAGTCCCTAGTACTCATAACACAGGGAATCCTAAATTGGCGACGGATGACTGTGCGTGATTTGATTCCACTTATTATATTTTATGTAGTTATAAGAAATCTTAATTACATTGAAATGATCAGATTATCAAATCAATATTTTTGTGAAACACATACGATTTACAATTCAAATCACTAAATAGAATATAATAATGTTAATATTTTTTACGTCTAAAGCCTTCGTCAAACAGAACGCGTACTTAGCGCGCGTCAGAGCGCTAAACTAACGCCGCGCTATGACGCCGAGATGTGTTGTATGCCAGACAGCGCTGGCGCTCTGTTTGACGGTATGATACCGTAGTAGTACAACACATCCCGGCGTCATAGCGTAGCGCTCTGACGCGCGCTAATTACGCGTTCTGTTTGACGAAGCCTTAACTTTTTACGTAAAATTACATCGTCATATTATGTCGCTAAATGTTTTTCTATTATCATATTTTTAGATGGCTTAAATGACGGTGTAACAAAGTGTCTAATAGTTACAATGTCACTTTATTATATTAAATATATTACGAATGAGCATTCATCGTTTACAGGAATTGCGGTGAAATGCAAAGAAATGTTATCGACGAAATATACAGCACGGCTAGTCCTTGCCGCTCCGGATCACAAGTAAGATTTCAATTATATTCCTTATTTCATGGGACGTAAAGTCTAAAATTAAAGAAGAGTTAAGAAACGTAAAACACGGAGATAACTCTGCTAATAGCATACGGATTAATTAAGGAATAAAAAAATCTTGTAACTCTGGATAATATTGTGATTATCATATAATATATTACGTTTTATAAGTAATACACTATGTATCATGAAAGTATAAATCACTATCAAACGTATTTCTTCTTGGTACATTTTGTTCGAACCTGAAAACCGATTTCGTATATTTTAACACATAAGTGTGACCTTTATCTTTCAACGTAATTTTCACCAAAGTCTGATTTACTTGAAAATTTCCACCCGTATGAAGGACGTGTGGCGGTACAATTTTTTTGTGACTTTGACCTAATGTCCTAATATCACAAGGATCACAAGGGAAAAAAATGTTAAAATTTTTTTTTTTTTTTTTTATTACTTTATAAACCATATCGAGGGGTGAAAGACTGATGGTTTAAGTAACATTTTTGAAACTTTACAGGAGAGCAATTTAGAGTACAAAATTAGAGTATATCATGAAAAAAGCTTCTTAAGCTGTTTGAATGGAGTAAACATAATTGAAGTTCGAATAAAAAACATCGAACTGTTGATGCTAATACCAAATAAAATAGACCTTTAATTATACAGATGAATTTCGAGTATTAAGGCAAATGTCGCTTAAACTAATTACCTTTTTACCCCTCGATATATTTTATTATTTTAGAGGTTTTCTAAATGTCTTATTAGCTGTTCATGTCGATTATGAAAAATCCTTTCGAAGACTCATTAACTCTATAACTCAAACAGATAGTGTACGCTTGGGCACGAGACGCTCCAAGCTTGCATCTTCCAAAAGATGTTGGCTTCCTCGTTGGACAGGGGTCGCCTATAAAATACCTGGTTCTCCAAGTTCATTACATGCATCGATTCCCTAGTAAGTAAACTGCATATCTTATATTACTATCGACAGAGTAGGTATCCCTAAAATTTTATAAAAATTGTTTTGTAATAATAATAAAGAGGCCTAGTCGGAATCAGTAAACTATTTAATTTATAATTATTTTCAACTATACGATGATAGCCCTGAATTGATAGGCGAAAATTCGTTCATGAAAAGTTGAGCAGATTCAGATAAGGTACCAGCGAGATATACCGAGAGCAACGAATTCGTACTCATTTCAAACAATAAACACAATAAAATATACGACCTTATCAACTAGTATATAAGTCAAGTCTAGACTAGTTCATAAACTCTTCAAATTTGAATCTCACTACGAGAAATGTTTAAAAAATTCACATTTATGGCAAAGGCACACGATTCAATCATATGAATAATAAACGCAATGGTACTTTGATGACGGTTTTGAAGACCATTCGATATGCCTCCTTGCTCTGTCAATACTGATCCACATCGCGGTCGGAATTAGATTCCGACTAATTGAATAAACTAGAGGTCCCGCAGTAGTCGAAATTCGACTATAATTAATTGGAATTGTAAGTTTGTACACTATTATGATTGTATTTTATACTTCTATAATCACAAATTTCGCCAAGGCTACACTATAAAAAAATATTAATAAATACAAACAATATTTAATCTATTCTAAATTTGACGACAGACGTCAAGAACAAAAGTATGACAATAAATAGTATGCATGCGTGTGCGTCAAATACATGGTACGTAGTGTGTGTAATGTTTTCTTTATTGATTTAATGTATCTTGTAAGCATTATTTAAAAAAAAATTAGCATTATGCACTTCTTCTCTATATTCTCTATAAGTGTGGAAAATTTCATACTCCTCCGTCCGCGCAATTTTCGTAAAAAGGGATACAAAGTTTTTGCTTCACGTATTAATATATAGATAACATGCGAAACTTAAGCTGTACTAAATAAATAACGAGTTTTATTATCACCTTTAAACAGTTGCTTTGCAGTAAAAATAGTCAAAATGATGTATAAGCTCGGAGTTCCCACCACCAGTAAAATATTACAATATATAATCCTTAATCCGCAACCAAAGATAACTCGCAGTGTTCAGGTTTTTGACTTCATCTTTAAATTAAGTAACCATTATTGATAATTATTTATTAATGATGACCACGACCACTCTGGCAAGAATGCAAACGACTGAAAAGAAGAATTTCAATCTTCATAGCTATTATTCAATATCGTGTATTTTTTTCCAGAGGGCCACACGGACAATTCAGGTGTATTCTTGAAGTACACTAAAGCACAGTAAGTTCAACGTTCCATTCTCAATAAATTATTCGTAATTTATGAATTCAGCCAGCTATAACTCGAAAGTTAATCAGAAATGTACGCTTTAGTAAAACTACTCAAGGACATCCCATATAGGTGTTTTTTTTTTTTTTTTCAAATAACCTTGACATGTATAACAGTTCAATGTCCGCTCTGGGTCGAAGTTAGGACGGCTGTACCCAAACCTACCCGCTTGCAACTCTCCCCATTAACTTGTAAGACAGGGGCGAGAGTGGGAAAAGACGAATTGAATTAAATGAATGGATGAAATTAATAATTAATTAAAAAATTGACATCTGACGACTGTCTAATTATGCTTATTCCAATAAAGCACAAATAACCAAACAATACTTCAAATTAATTCAGCCATTATGAACTATCCCACACAGAACCTGGATTAACATATAGGATATTTTTATTATGGTGAATGACCTGTGCAACTACTGAGCTGGCCGCAATTCCGATCCGGTAGTTGACTCATTCGCGAAGCAGTCGCTCTTGAGTTATTAGGTCTTCTGCGGAGGCGCTCTGGTAGCTGTTAGCAAATCCCTTCCTTCCTGGCTGAGCCTTTGCTCGCCCACTTGTCCTGGTCAAACCTAAAAAAATACTACATTCTGTTCGCTGGTTTGTGGTTACATACCACCGCATATACAAACTCAGAGAATGACACAAACAACCCTAGCCTAGAAAACTTGTAACTATACTTGAGACTTTAGAACTTATATCTCAAGGTGGGTGGCGCATTTGCGTTGTAGATGTCTATGGGATCCAGTAATCACTTAACACCAGGTGAGCTGTGAGCTCGTCCACCCATCTAAGAGAAAAAAAAATACCAACTCGGAGAATGACACAAACAGCTCTAGCCGGGAAAAAATTAACGAGCTTTATTATTTCTGAATTAAATGTTCAATTCGAGTGTAATTATAGAGCACGTCTTGCATTGTTACAAATGTAACATTTTACGATCTAACTGATACTTATTAATTTATTCCAGTATGCCTCGTCAAGCCGGCGTCATACTCCTCGGCACCAGCGGTATAATAATGCCCAACATGGTGGAACATATGGAGACGGCCTGCACCATGACTGAAGACAAGACGATCCACCCGTTCGCTTTCCGTACTCACACGCATTCGCTTGGTGAGCTTTCTAGATTTTTCGCTTGCTTATATAGGCTTATACACAAAAAAGCCGTTTTCTGCCGTGAAGCAGTAATGCATTTCGGCTTGAAGGGTGGGGCAGCCGTTGTAACTATACTGAGACCTTAGAACTTATATCTCAAGGTGGGTGGCGCATTTACGTTGTAGATATCTATGGGCTCCAGTAACCACTTAACACCAGGTGGGCTGTGAGCTTGTCCAACCATCTAAGCAATAAAAAATAAATAAAAAAAGATACAATTAGATTGTTGAAACATAACATCACACATGATCTTACTAAACTTCCACATATACAGGGTGTTTTGCTTAAAAAAATGTATTTCATTAAGATACTAAATATACTATACTGTTAGTTGCTTATTACTGATTTCAACAACGAAGATGGGACACTAGTTGCCGATAACACAAAAATTTAGTCGAGAAATATTAATTTATTATACTTATCTTGCAATGTAATATGTATCTTTTGCCATTAAAGGTTCGAAAAATAAATTAGTGTCTATTTTAATGTAAATACATTTTATTCCTTTCGGCCGGGAAGAAGTGTATTGACACTTCGTTTTTCTTTACGGATCTACTCGTTGAGTAAAGCTAATCATTCACACAAATTCTTCTCATTGTAAAATGAACCTTAATTCCTAAGAAATAAAGCTACGATTATTATTTCACAATTTAACAGGCACCCTCGTGAGCGTTCCGTGGCGAACGAGTGTATTGTCGTTTCGTCTTGGTTCCTTTACGGATGTACTCGTTGAATAAAGCTAATCATTGACACAAATTCTTCTCATTATAAAATGAACCTTAATTCCTAAGAAATAAAGCTACGATTATTATTTCACAATTTAACAGGCACCCTCGTGAGCGCTCCGTGGGGGAAGGAGTGTTTTGTCGTTTTGTCTTGGTTCCTTTACGGATATACTAATGAGTAAAAATAATCATTTTCACAAATTCTTCTCATTATAAAATGAACCTTAATTCCTAAGAAATAAAGCTACGGTTATTATTTCACAATTTAACAGACACCCTCGTGAGCGCTCCGTGGGGGAAGGAGTGTTTTGTCGTTTTGTCTTGGTTCCTTTACGGATATACTAATTGAGTAAAAATAATCATTTTCACAAATTCTTCTCATTATAAAATGAACCTTAATTCCTAAGAAATAAAGCTACGGTTATTATTTCACAATTTAACAGACACCCTCGTGAGCGCTCCGTGGGGGAAGGAGTGTATTGTCGTTTCGTCTTGGTTCCTTTACGGATGTACTCGTTGAGTAAAGATAATCATTGACACAAATTCTCATTATAAAATGAACCTTAACTCCTAAGAAATAAAGCTACGATTATTATTTCACAATTTAACAGGCACCCTCGTGAGCGGCTACGTCGTCCACCGGAATAAGGACGGAGACGAATGGACATTGCTCGGCAAGAAAAACCCTCAGCTGCCTCAGATGTTCTATCCGACAGAAAACCGAGATCCGATCAAGAAAAATGATGTACTGGCTGCTCGATGCACCATGAATAATAGCCACGAATACGTTGTCAAGATCGGGTTTGTTTTGTCTTTTTTGTTTTTGCTTTTATCGCACCCTTTCTTGTGGTATAGTATAATAAAAAATACAAATATAAATTTTAATAAATATAAACTAACTAGCGATCCGCCCTCGCTTCGCTTCAGAAACTGTAATTTATTAGTGATTTCTCCACTATTTTTAATGGATGTTATTATACATATAAACCTTCCTCTTCAATCACTCTATCTATTAAAAAAACCGCATAAAAATCCGTTGCGTAGTTTTAAAGATTAAAGCCTTCCTCAAACAGAACGCGTACTTAGCGCCGCGTACTTAACGTCGCGCTCTTTTCATGTCACACCAGTTGACTAGATGAGTCTAACGCTCCTTGACGCAACGCATTCGCCAAATCATAGTGCCTTTCGATAGCAGTGTGAAAATTTAAAAGTATTAGGAGATCGAGTGATTCAGATGTGGCATTATATATGCATGGGTATTTTCTAACTATTTATATCATTTTTTCGGGCATTATCTAGTATTTTAATACACATTCACTCGGACGCTTAAATAAAATTTGTAAAAAATTACAACGCCTGACGTCAAAGCGTCCTAACGCCGCGACATAGCGCTGCGTACTTATAGCGCTGGGGCTCTGACGGTATGTTACTTACTATATTAGTACAACACATCTCGGCGTCATAGCGCGGCGTCAGTTTAGCGCTCTGACGCGCGCTAATTACGCGTTCTGTTTGACGAAGCCTTAAAGCATACATAGGGACAGAGAAAGCGACTTTGTTATATACAATGTAGTGATGCGTGAATAGGTCGAAAATTTATTGTTGAACAAACATATAATGTCTTTTTTGATTTTGAAGATATCAATTAAATAAATTCGTTTTGATTAATAGAACAACTCAAAAATGATTTACCTACCATTAAATTTCAGCTTCAAAATGATAGTTATGCAGCGCAGTCGTTTCAACTCATTCACGTTTGTTATAAATAATTCTAAATTCAATGACCTTTATGCTTCTTTTATTGATTTACACAGACCAATGAGTACTGGGTAAACGCAACTAAAGCCAATGAAACTGTCAATATATTGCCAAGGGGTAAAACATGAGCACCCATAAACACTTCATGCTACATACATGTATTGTGATCTAATATTAATATTTAAAAAAATAGTTTTGACTCGGTTGTCTTGATCTTAAAAAAAACTCATCAACAATTGCAGTGCCACAAATCAAGACGAAATGTGCAACTTCTACCTGATGTATTGGGTTGAAAATGACACGCCATTGAAACAGAAGTACTGCTTCACGGCCGGCCCTCCAAACTACTATTGGAGCGAAGCCCACGAGAACTTCAACTGGATCCCGGATCTTGAAGCGAGCACTCCTTAACTCTGAAAGGTACTTCATACTACCACTGGCGTTACAATGTTACACCGCGGTCGTGAGCATCCAAATCTTGAAATACAATCAATTAATCTAGACTATTTACTAATTTAAATCAAAAAAAAATCTTGTATAGAAAATTTCGGACTATATAGGGTGTTCTTAAATCGATTCCATTAAATTTTGGTTTAGTAATGTTATTAATGTTCGTCCGTTTCGTAACCACGTGTACTCGACTCTCTTCTGTAATCATTATCACCTTCACGTCAAGCCGTTTCGGTTTGAAAGATACAGGTCTTCAAGTGTTACAGAAAGACACGAAATTAATATTGAGATAAATAGACCAGTAAAAAAAATACTTCGACGAAAAATTCGGCAAATGTAAAATTTGCTCGTACCGAAATTAAATAAAGTATTGAGTATTATTTCTTAAAGAATCTGTCCTATTTTGTTGTCAAATCACTGATAAACTATTTATTTATGTACATAGTTGTATATTAAACAAATGATGATCTGTAGAATGAAATTCACAAGGAGCCAGATATATCCGTTTTATCGTATCTTTGTGGGATGTCTATCATCTCTTAACGAAGTCACTCGAGTTCTGACACTCCATGATCGTTTAGGATATTATATGGACAAAAGTATTTGAGTAAAAAATAAATAATGAAATGGATATCCTACTACTTGGTTCTGAAGTCGATTTTCATTCGACCAATATTAATATTTTGTGATATAGGAGATGTTAAAAGAAATCAATGAATTATATTGATAATATTTTTCGAAATTAGTATATAACAATTTTCAAATAAGAAATATTAAGGTTTAATTTGTATTTTTGACCTTTGTCACTCTCAATAATTCACAACGTACCTTATATTATTATTGATTTTTTTTTCGAACGATCTGAAATATAATAACGTGACATTCCATGAAATGCTTTAATTTTAATTAGTAATTTTCAGATGTTTTATTGATTTTGGCAAGACTTTTTTAAATTATAAAAAAAATACTATTTATTGAGATCATTTTTAAATAAAAATAAAAATTGAGTTTCATTTTTAGTTCTAATAACTTGGCTTTAAATATAGTTTCGCAACAGAGTATTTTAATAAGAGATTGGTTTGTTTTAATAAATTCATTATAACACAAATTTAAAGATTTTGAAAGACATATTTTTATTTATTCATTTATTTAACAAACACATATTTTTATGGCTGTATTAGCATAATAATTGATAAGACAACTGCTTGGAGTAGACGTATTTAAAAAAAACCGCAACGGACCTAAATCAAGTGAACCCTCTGTATGGAACATTCCGTAAGAATATTATATATAAAACAGTGTATTAAAAGACATCTTATTCAAAAATAATTTTACTTTAATTAGTACTTGAGGTAGTGAGTAGTATTAATTGAGAAAAACCTATCCAAATTACGAAACCGTGTTTATTTAAAAAAAAAACACGATGCAACTTACAAATAATGTAAGCTTTCAAATTTAATATTTTACATATAATTATACTAAACAATTATAAAGTCAATTGTAAAAAAAAGAAACTTGGATTCTTCATTTATTGTAAAAATTAAAACAATTTACAGAATTTAAATTTTAACACAATGCCGTTTCATCGGGGAAACGTATCTAGTTATTTTTAAGAAAAAAAATACATGTTTCTTATAAAAAAAAAAAAAAAATTATGAATTCACGAGCGCTTTTAAATCGTCATGACTATCATCGATTTGAAATTCACGTTTATACGTCACTTAGAAGAACCTATAACAAAATCAGGCTTCGTTCTTCCGAAATATTTACCGGTGGTAGGACCTCTTATCGGCACGGGTAGGTACCACCGCCCTGCCTGTTTCTGCCGTGAACCAGCAATGCATTTCGGTTTGAAGGGCGGGGTAGCCGTTGTAACTATATTGAGACCTTAGAACTCATATTTCGAGGTGGATGGCGACATTTACGTTGTAGATGTCTTAACACCAGGTGGGCTGTGAGCTCGTCTACCTATCTATGCAATAAAAAAAGCGTACCTATAGAAAAGTTAAAATATTTTTTCAGTTAGTACATTTAATAAAGGTGATTTGAACTAGAAAATAGGTTCGCATTACCCAACATCGACAATAGATCGATACGTATTTGTGCTGTATGCATAATATGAAACCCGCACTCGGTTATCGTCGCTAAACAAAGTCGATTACTATACACTAATTACAAAAATAAACCTTCGTTGTTCAGGTAATTTGAATTTAAAACTGTTAAAGCTTAAGCTTAAGAATATTGTTAAAAAATTATGACGCCGCTAATGAGACGGGCTATTAATTTTTTGTGCTACATTAAATCGTTGAAATATTCAAATATTTAAATATTTTATAGCTTATCGCTTCAAAATGATGATTCACAAAATGAATATGAATAATATATAATACAATGAGGATTTTATTTAAAATAAAGAGCAGGGAGCTTGCAAGGCGTCCGCAAAAAAGCCGGTTATTATTTATTGCTTTGTATCACACAATCGATCTATTAATCTAGAGCAAGCATCGTTATCGTTATTACTGGTGGTAGGACCTCTTGTGAGTCCGCGCGTGTAGGTACCATCGCTCTGCCTATTTCTGCCGTGAAGCAGTAATGCGTTTCGGTTTGAAGGGTGGGGCAGCCGTTGTAACTATACTGAGAACTAGAACTTATATCTCAAGGTGGGTGGCGCATTCACGTTGTAGATGTCTATGGGCTCCAGTAACCACTTAACACCAGGTGGGCTGTGAGCTCGTTCACCTATCTAAGCAATAAAAAAAAACTATTTCTTCGATACACACAATGGCCACACATTAAAATATTCCTGATTATTTTAAACACTATAANGCAGCCGTTGTAACTATACTGAGAACTAGAACTTATATCTCAAGGTGGGTGGCGCATTCACGTTGTAGATGTCTATGGGCTCCAGTAACCACTTAACACCAGGTGGGCTGTGAGCTCGTTCACCTATCTAAGCAATAAAAAAAAACTATTTCTTCGATACACACAATGGCCACACATTAAAATATTCCTGATTATTTTAAACACTATAATACTGTACGTATTATAAGGCATATGTTTCTAGTCAGACTAAACATTTTAAAATAAATTGAAATATTTCCTTCAATAATACATAATACATAATAAGAAAAATACTTAAATCTTCTTTATCTTTATAAAATTTATTAATCGTTGTATTGAATAATTGTCTGTGTAGTTATGAATTATCTGTATTTAGTATTAAGAGATATATTGTTCAGAGATTTTGTAAACTTAATATGATATTGTGTTAAACTTTACTCATTACAAGATTTACCTACGAAAGCAAGTATTTATATTGAAACAGGGAGCAGTGTTATCTTCTGCAAAATAATATGTAACATAGTTTTTTTTTTTTTAATTTTATGCTATATTTGGGAAAAAAACACAGGTAGTGTAGATAGATTACTATAGTAATTTATCTAATGCTAAACTATATATCATATCTACAAACTAATCTATCTATTGTAGTAAGTAAATAAAGTGAAATACAATAAGAGATCATGAAATAGTCTTCCTCCTCTAATCGTTCGCTCATTGTTGAGCTTTGTGATCCTTCTTGTGATCTAGTCCTTATGTAGGTTCGTAGCACAGTGAAGTACGTCACTCAATCTCCTGTCCAGATGCTCGGACGCTTGATCACTCTCATCTTCCAGGCTCCGATCCATGGACATCTTTCCATCCACTTGACCCGTCACTATGAGTCTATCCAGGATTTTCTTGCTATATAAACAAGATACTAGAAACTATGTAGGCATATCATGGATAGTCTCCGTTCAACTTTTAGCTCGCTGAGAATGGTGCGCTCGTATGGAAAATCGCAACATGCGCCACGATATAACAAAATGAATAGTGTGGCCATCATACTACGCAAGATATTTGACGGATGCCTGAATCTCGCTTACGACATTTTCAAGATAAGCTTGCATATATACAAGTTCCGAACAACAACATTCGGACCGTCAGTCTACCGAGCAATATCACCTGCTCGGTGGAAAATCTTCCCTTCCGTCGTTTAAACATCCCACAATAGTATACATGATTAAAATAATTAAAACTAACCCTATACATGATTAAAACAATTAAAAATAACCTAACCTTCCCGAGTCGTAAATAAAATGAAAATAGCTTTTACGGTTCTATCTCAGGCGACTTTGATCGGTAACCATCATAGTTAAGCATTTAAGAAGTCGGAAATAATAGAATATAATAAACGCGGAATAAAACAAATCATAAGTTGTTTATATTATCTCAAGTTTACAAAATCTCAATAAATATTATTATATAAATATCTATATAATTTTAAACATCTATTTAAATTGATGACTCGGCGCGCATTTTGGATTTCGATTTATGTAAATAAACTAGTATTAAATACTATTATTATACATACTTTTTCAGATGCTTTATTTTACTCTATAACGTGTACAACGTGGTTTTTAATAGTACGACTCCAAATAAGTGACTGTTTCACAAACAAGTTTTAGTAATAACTTCAGTAAAGTTGAGAATTTATGTGTTAAGATGAATTTACGGTATCATGCCGAAGGATCTAAAACATCCGACAGCCCATTTATCACCTGACGTGAAAAATATTGCTTAAGAATTGAATCTATCAATTAAAAAAAACGGATATATTCATCTGCAAACCGTTAATACATATTCATAATTCATCATAAATTCATTCATGCATAATCACCTTAACAAACAAATAAATAAAGACTATGAAACCGAAGCAACAGTGTTAAGTGAAACAGTCCCTTAAACTACTACAAAACTGTAATTGAATACAGTTTATTGATTAAATTAAACATTATTTAATTTAATTCGCATAAATGCGTAACATGCAGATTTAATATATTCATAAAATAAGAAATATCGTTTTAAATACAAAATAATTGATCCTTATTGGCTTAGAAAAATGTCTAGAATTATTAATAAAAATTCCTATTAAAATAATATTTATAGAATATATCTTTTATAAACTTCTATTTATATCTACATATTATTAAATAAAAACAAGCCAGTGATTTTTTTTCAAACCCTATTATTCTAATGTCTGTCATACAAACCAAAAATACAGTGGACTGTAGAAACGAAGCAATGTCAAATAACTAACAAACATTATTACAAGAATTGAGTTCTGCGCCAAATGTATGCTTGATGTTATTGCATTCAAATTTATGATAATTCAAATATTGGGAGCTCATCAAAAGTTTATCCTAAATTTCTAATACATTTATTTAAAATTTTGGCAAAAACATGTTTTCTCCTTTTAACGAAACGCCTCAAATGTGAGGCTACCTTAATAACAATCTTTTAGACTGATTTAAAAATAAAATCTCTTAATCTACCGTTCTTTGAGTGTAGCTGGAAAATCTATATTTCCTAATAACTGCGGGATTACGATTGTAAGAAAAACTATGTATGTTAAATATGTATCATAATTGAATTTTTCTTCCATTTTATTAAATTCATATTGTTGTTTTACATATTTTATCATTCTAATGTATGGTATTTTCAAATATTTGGAAAGCCACTTACTGAATTCAAATCTGTTTCGAAAAACATCTCGCTGTTTCTACTGCTAAAAACACATACGTTATAATAAATTAAGATTTTAGTTATAATTTTAAGTATATCAATTTACTAATCAATCATTGCAATCAACTTAAACTTAATAAGTACTAAAAATGTACTTAAAGAGATAATTTTAATTTCTTATTTTTGTAACACGTTTTATTATAGTATAATATACCTAGCAAAAATGTTATACTGTGTTGTTATATTTATAAAGTATTTTTTACTATCCATTTTTTTATTTTGCAGTTATAACGCTGTGCTTTCAGATCTGAACGTGT